GGGGACAGGCCTGCATGCACAGGGGCCTTAGCTGGAGGGAAAAGACGGTGCTTGGATAAACACCGTGCTCTTCTCTGCATTGTGGCTTTGGCACATTAAATTCCTATGGGTGTCTTTCATTCCCGCTTTCTGTCAGTCTGGAAAATCGGTGTTGGCAAACTTTGTTTCGGAGAGCATAGAAGGGATTGGCAGCTACAGCCCGACACAAGGTGTAAGGTGAGTGAAACCTCATGGCATGCTGACTGAACCAACTCCCTGACAGCTCTCTGCCCCTCAGAAAGTCCCACTTTCTGGTTGTGGTGGTGTGTAGAGTGATACCACATTGTATATGCACTCATTTTCACAGGATCCTGGAGTATGAGAAGCCGAACTTGAACGGTAACTGCAAGGGAGCTGGGTGTCGATTTGAGTTGTGGGATTGCAGTGGTGATCAAAAGTAAGCCAGCGTTATCGTTACTTCCTCCAGGCTACGTAATTAATAATAGTTCTATTTACACAAAATATTCATACTTACAGCCTAAAACCAATGATCTTTTTGAGATGAGGAATACTGCTGCCTCTTTACCCCATTATATTTTTTTATAGCTTCTGCTGTAAAGCATGTGATATTAGGTACTCTCTGCCATGACCCCAGCTGACTGAGTATAATAGTAAAGTCTGTCACTCATAGAATGAAGCTACAGGGACAGGAGACAGAGGCCCACTCTGTAATTGACTTTATCTCCTTGAAGTTATTATGTGAGTGGACTTCAAACAATGTATATATATGATTTGGGCCTTAATTTCCAAAAGATACAACTGAGAACTGGACAGATCCATTTTATGGAAAAAAATTTAAATAAGCATTTGACCAAATACTACATTGTCAGCAAATCGTGGGACCAACTAACATAATAGGTAAGTCAAAATATTTGTAATATGATAGATCACTGTCAACATTACTGATCTTATAATAAAGAAAAAGTACTGAAAAGTGTTCTTGAGGAGGGAGAAAAAACTTGAGGGAGTTTGCATGCATGTTTCTGTTTTCCAGCTATCAATCTTACCATTTTCCATGCACCTCTTTTTCAAGGTTTGAAACATGCTGGCCAGGTCTGATGAAGGACTCTCATGGCGTAATAATAATCTTCAATCCTGAGCTGCCCAGTCACCTGAAAGAAATTGAAATGTGGTACTCCTGTTTTGTGCAGCAGCAGCCACTGCTTGACAGCCAGTGTCTCCTAGTTGCCCATCACAAGCCAGGCAGTGAGGGGGACACAGAAAATCTGTCCTTGGGTAAGAAGATGGAAAACTTAGTCTCTAACTCAGAGGTTTTTTTATTGATCTATTTATCTCTGAAATAGTTCATACCTTATGGCTTGCATTTTTCATTTAAATCTGCCAATCAAAGAATATCAGAGTGCTTTGCAAAAACAGAAATAATGAATTTCAAAGGTCATCTAAAAGGTGAGCGATATTCCTGTTTCACGAAAGGAAAAGTAAAAGCAAGAAACGTTTGACTTCTCTAAGATCACACAGTGAGTATGTAGCTGAGCCAGGAATTAGAACTCATGATGTCTGTAGCTGTATGTCATCATCCCTAGTAGTTTGTTTCTTACGTTGAATTTTATCTTTTGTTAACTGACATGTTTGAGGCCATTTAAGCCTGCATTTCATCAATCGAAAGAATAGGAGCCCTTTGAAATAAACATCTAATGATCTTCCTTTTAAAATTAGTAATAGGTACTTTATATATTGCAAAATTATTTGTGGCTGTTTATACAAATGAGAACACACACTGCCTCTGGGTAAGCTGTTCCAGTGTTCAAACAAATACATATTTATTATAATATTTATTATAAGTATTAATATATACTTAACAGTATTGTTCCATAATTTTGAAATAATCAAAGAATACTGTATCACTTCAATACTAAAATTGCAATTCAGTGCTGAATTGTTTGATTCCGCCTAACTGAATGTAAGACCAAAACCAAGCTTCAATAATAATGTTCGAAAAATCTAATCTAGCAACAAGTTGTACTTGTTTGTAATGCTAACAAGCTATGATGTATTTCTTCTTCACGAGTGTTATCTGGGGTATCAAACACCAGATACTACTGAATTCCAACTGACTTCAGCATGAGCTGTCCCATGAGCTTGATGGTGAATATTTCTTTTATAAAAGGAATATACCTAATTATTTTTTATTTACCTTCAAAGCTTATCCGCTGAACAAGCTGAAACTAATACATTCCAACTTAGAAGAAGATCCTGAAGATGTTCGGATGGAATTTATGAAATACTTCAGAAGCATTATCACCTTAATAAATGAGAGCAGAGAGAGAGAAGAAATGTCAATTATCTCATAACATTAAAAGAAATACTGAACAGGGAAGAAAAAGGATTTTTTTTCACTTTGTAAGCTATACTAACCTGTGAACAGGTCCTCACAACAAGAATTTGCTTTGCTATAAACACTTCAGAGAAAATAATGCACAATTTGTGACTAAACCAGAAAAAAAGAAGTGCTGACATCAGATGAACTGTGGTGCCAAAGAGGTGGCTGCACGTCCAGGAACTTGGGTAACTTTAGCTGCCTTTTGGTTTCGTTTGGTATCAGAGGTACAGGAAGATATTGTTTAATATGTTAGAGTGGACCAAAAGGTAAAGGTATTGGTCATCCCTTCACTTCAGAATCCCTTTTTGTAGAGGTGCTAAGAGAAGGAATCCTGACAGAAAATAAGATTTGTGGAGTTCTACTGAAGCATCCGAGTAAAGTGCTGTGTTCCTGGGAAGTTATGCTTTTGGAAGTCAGTACAAACTGATTGGAATAGAGATCTGAGAAGTAGCCATGGTGTGGAATCCACATTTTTATGTTCCAAGTTCTCCTTATCTTTCTCTCCAGCATCTGAAGAGAGCACATTTCACAACTATTGCCTTGGCAAGACAGAGTAGGTTTCAGTCTTTCTCAGGACTACATTTGTCTTGTATTCCAACAAAATAAACATGGTGTTGGGGACAGTGCTTAGGTCTCTCTGGGAGGAAAAGAACTGAAATCTCAGTGTAGTGCAATACTTTGACCTATGTCAGGAGTGCCAGTAGAGGAAAAAAAAGTTCTGCATTCTCCAGAGGAGGAGAAGTTGTTTCCAAACTTGTATCACTGTTCCCTGGTGCATTGAAATAAGTGGTTTCATAGATAATTTACTTTCTGATTTGTTTGGTTTGCACTCATCCCTGTTCTTAGTGTGTTTTGCTGTGGCAGACATTTTTTTGTAACATGCAGTACTAAAGCAATAAAAATATTTTAAAAATACATCCCTTTTGTTCTCAAAGGGAAAGTTAATTATGGGTTTGTGGAACTCTTATCAAGTTGCTTAATTTTTAGTGAGGAAAACAGTGATAAATATGTAGTACATTTTATGCTAATTAGCTCCAACAAGAGATGTTTACAAAACTTGTCACTCACCCAAATAGCCGAAGAAATGACAAATGAAAAACAGAAGCCTGTATCCATACTGACACACGCTTCTTTTTTTCAGAAGCCAATTTAAAGGAGAGAGGGACTGGGAGCAGGAACTGCAGAAATCCTTGGGGATCCCATTTCACCTTGTGCTGCAGCTCACCTTGTGAAGTGTGAAAACAGTGGCCTGTCAGAACTATGTCTGACCCACAGCACTAAATTTTACTTTTTTTTTTCATTGCATACTCATGCCATGCAGCTGCATTTGAGCTGCAGCTGTTTTACAAGTATATTTGTTAGAACTGCCTTGTCCTTTCACCAATATTGTCTTTTAGTAAACATCCCTTACAGGAAGTACTTGATCTGTTTTAGTTCAAGATAACAGGAGTGAGAGCTGCTTGGCTTCTTCAGTGATCCAGGTTAATTAGCCTACTATTTTTCCCATTTTCATAGTTTGGTCTTTTCTGAGTAATGAGTAGCTTGTCCCTGTGCAAATATTCTGTTTTCCAAGATGATGAGATGCCTCAAAAATCTATTCAGTTGTTGACATATCTTTCTCCTGGCCTTCAAACAGTGTGCCATTGAGGCTTTCTCCAGGGTTTTCTCTGGGAAGCTTCAGTGAGAGCAGAGAGCAGTCAGGGTGTGGTCCACTGTCACAGGCTGCTGTTAGCCGTAGTGCAGGACTTGTTCTGGCCTCCTGAAAATGCCCACAGGTCTCAAGGCAAAAAATTGGCACTCCCTTTCTTCTTTCAGTCCCCTTCAATGGGATTCATTGTAGTGGTGTAGCAATGAGTGGCTGTAGCAGCTCAAAATAAGTTCCTTTTACTGTTGCTTTCAGGTAGGAGAAGATTTTTCAATTATTTTCATATCCTGCTTGAAGCACTTCTACATCATCATGCTCAAAATCAATAAACAAGTGCTAGTTTGAAAGCCTCTTCATTCCAGTTGTGTTTTCTACTTTCCCAGGTATTTTTCTCTTTGATTATTAACTCCTTTTATTTAAAACAAAGGCATGTGAGGTGAAAGATTAAAAGAAGATCTTAGAACAGTTCCAAGTTGTAAAACTAATGGCTGCAAACAAAACACTCTCTGCTAGGCTCATTCTTCAGAGGATTACTATTCCAGTGATACGCTGGTTTGCTCAGGTTGGTATCAGGCATGTGGCATGTGAAGTTGCATGCACACACAAATAACCTGTATTGTTCTTTTCTAGGGTGCTTGGTGTGCTCACAGAATTTGCTGCCCCAGCTTCTTTTCATTGTCTGCTGGCTCCTATTCTGCCATTACAGCTAAAAGCTCCGCTCGGTTCTGAGAGGAAAAGAGGGGGAGTACTGAAAGAAAACATGAGTGAGAGGAAGGACACCAGGAAAGAAAAAAGCAAAATAAGCAGTAAAAGATGAAAAGGTTGGAGGTGAATAGCAGGAGGTTGGCATTTCAACATCTACATATTATTTATATAACTTTTGAAACGATTAGGCTTTATATGTTTGCAATCAGTGTCACAGGGTGGTCTATTGGAGGCAGTTATTGGAAAATTCACAGTCTAACTAGAGAACAAGTTTTTTACATGCTGCCTTAGATTATTTTTTCCTTGTTGCCAGCTGTGTGGTGCTGGAGCCAATTTTTAAAATATACTGCCTTAATAAATTCAGGTTTTCCCAACAGCAGCATTGTGATGTGCACTGGTAAAGACTGGTGTGAAACCCACCAAATATTTTATGTGGAATGTAAACCAGTGTTTGTGTGATTCCAGGGTTGAAAAGTCAATGAACTCTCCTATTCACCACCTTGCTTCATATAAAAAGTTAATCATGATCTTATTTAAACTTAAAAAAGGGATGTAAAGTACAGGTACCTATTTACTGCAATATATTGTTCATTAGAGAAGAAAAATACTGTTAGAGAGAACCAAAGACAGATCCCTAGATTTGACTTTATATCATCTAGAAGGGTCATAATATGTAATAAATGTGGAATATTGTTCATAAAATCTGGCCAAGAGATTAATGTCTGTGACTGCTGAAGAACAGAGTAAATGCATAGACCCATGCAAAATTAATCCTTAGTATTGGAGAAGATACAGAGAAAGTATTTATTCAGAAGTATCATTTATTAATGATTTATGAAACAGGTGAACAGAGACACCCAGTTACAAGAGGGGTATAAGAATGCCAGATGAACATACGTTAGGTCTCTGTCTCTGCCCTTTGCAGCCTGCCTTTGCTGTGCTATCAGTAACTGCAGAGCTTCAAACAACGCCACATCACGGCGTTACACAGATTGGGGCTGCACAGTCAAGTGCTTGCTTGAAGCAATGTGGTTAATAAGTGACTGGTCTACGGCTCTGTCCATACTTCTGCTTGTGAGGGCAAAGAATTGCCCAGACAAGTATAAAGGAAACTGGGAACGTGAGGCAATCAGCCACAAGTTACACGGAAGTCAGTTGTCAAGCCACAGGTTTAACTAGGAGTAGGAACAATTTAGGACCAGAAGATAACAGAAAGTTTGCAGCAAAAGCACTCTATTTTACTCTTCCACACTGAGGACCTTACCACAACGCATGGAAGGTTGCACTCGCAGCCCAGAAGGCCAACTGTATCCTGGGCTACACCCAAAGCTGCGTGGCCAGCAGGGCGAGGGAGGGGATTCTGCCCCTCTGCCCAGCTCTGGGGAGACCCCCCTGCAGTGCTGCGTCCAGCTCTGGAGCCCTCGGCACAGGAGAGACACGGACTTGTTGGAGCGGGGCCAGAGGAGGCCCCAGCAACGCTCCAAGGGCTGGAACAGCTCTGCTGGGAGGACAGGCTGGGAGAGCTGGGGGGGCTCAGCCTGGAGCAGAGAAGGCTCCGGGGAGACCTTACTGCAGCCGGTCAGTACTTAAAGGGGGCCTATAGGAAAGATGGGGACAGACTTTTTAGCACGGCCTGTAGCGACAGGACAAGGGATAACAGTGTTAAGCTAAAAGAGGGCAGATTTAGGCTAGATATAAGGAAGAATTTCTTTACAACAAGGATAGTGAACCACTGGCCCAGGTTGCCCAGAGAGGTGGCAGATGCCCCATCCCTGGAAACATTCTAGGTTGGGTTGGACGGGGCTCTGAGCAACCTGATCTGGCTGAAGATGTTCCTGCTTACTGCAGGGGGATTGGACTAGATGGCCTTTAAAGGTCCCTTCCAACCCAAACTATTCTATGATTCTATTCTATGAAAGGCTTTTTGGATGACCTTTCCAAGTGTAAGGGAAGGCAGAGAACCAGTGAAATCTGCCAATTCCTCCAAACAAATGTAGGCTTCTCTGGGTGTCCTCAGTCCCTTAAAGTGAACAGTGCATGTCCTCTTCTCATTCTGTCAGCAGCCACGTACCCCCCGACTCCTGCTTTGTATGAACTGTGCACAAATTGGAAGTCTCCAAGCTCCCTGTCCCTTTCTGTGGTTCCTTTTCCATACTGGAATTCAGTGGCTATTTGCTCCAACGGCTTTTCTGTGATCACTTGCATTGGCACAGTTTGGGAAAGGCTGGAATCAGGGATACAGAACATTTTAAATATTAGTTAATTCAAATACATTGAGACTCCACAGTGCAGATTCCAAAGACTCTAGGACACACCAACTGTGCAGTGAGAAAACAACCTGTTACTTAACCAGAAGTTATTCAGCTGCAACATTATTTTGTCACTTGGCATTGAGTATTGATAATCCTGACAGCTTACATGTACAGAAACTATTTTCAAAGTTTTATTGCTGTGTAGCTACAAAAAGTTTTATAACTATAGGTGAGCTCTACTCAAGTTCACGCTCTTCTCCCACAAAAGTAGGTGGTACATCATTGCTTTGGACAGTTGGACAAAGAGTCAGCATGGAAATTTGATAGGGAATAGTCAGAATCAGAAGAACTCTGCAGGGCTAGAAATGCAGAATTTTAAGACTTCAGGATCATATATAGAAAATTAATGGCTGTGACTATCTTTGCAGACTGGTGATTTGAGACATTTAAGCTCTTCAATTACAAAATAGCATTTGCTCAGGTTACCTCTTACAAGCTGTTTTCTGCACACGCAGAACATTATGAAGCAAATAACTACTTGTGATGATGAAAACAGTTACAGGCACTGCAACCCAGATGTGTGGCTTCCAGGGTAAAAATCATACTTGTTTACAACCAAACTTTGGGAGTAGCAGCAAAACCGAATGAAATACATTTGGACC